CTGGTTATATAGAACCAATTTTCCACTGCATATTAAAAACCTCTCCATGGTACTTTATGCTTAAACTATTATTATAATATGTGTGGTGGTGTACTTAGTTAGTGGTGGAGTAGTTGCCTAGCATGTCTAAAACTCTGGGTTTGACCCAGAGTACTACATACATAGATAAAATAATCTAAACATATTGTCAGCCTTTTGCTATGCGTCCTAAGTCAATGGTATCACCTTCTTCCAATTTCTTGAGTCAGACACGATAGAACAGATGGGGCCACTAGCATTTCTTCCAAATCTACCTTCAATGATGTACAAAGGTCAGACCAGAACCAGAGGCAGTGGCAGCATTCACACTATGGGGACCAGCCAAGCACAGCAGAAGCAAACTATCTCTCCCCTACTGCCACCCAACTCCCAGAACTGGTTGATAAAAATTTAGAAACATACTACCATCCCTGTCCTTTAGTCCTCTATTCTATATAGGCATCAAAAATTTGGGGTTCACGTCTGAGTCACTGTCAGGTTTCACACTCTCTCACCTAGATGCTGCACGTTCTCATTGTCTATATTCTCATGTACCTGTTTGGCTGTCAGAGAAAACGAGCTGATCATGTCATTCCCTTCTTGCAGGGATTTGGAACTCAGCATGGTGGCCAACATGCTCTGCAGTTAAGGTCTCTTTTGTTAGAGCCCATTTGGAACTATGCTCTAGTGCTATGGAATAGTTTGAATTCCCCAAACCTACGACTTCATTTGGCCCCTTACTTTTGCTCCAGGGTGCTCCTCTCCCCAAATTCTCCTGTATTCTTCCCATCAAGAGCCTAATGAATAGAAACTTATCTTCCAGAAAACTCCGTTGTGAAGGTTTGCCTGCTGCTGCCCTTTATTTGTCAGATGAATTGTTTGTTAAATGATGGTGTAGGTAAAAGAAAAAGTACCATGGACATCTTCAGCTGCAGGAGACAGGACAAACCCAAGAAAGATGCTGGGGAGGACCCCGTGCCTGGCTTAGTTTCTAAGGGCTGCAGGATTCCCAGCAGGGGTGGGTGTGACCGGAAACAGGTAGAACTGACAAGCTTAGAGGAATAGCAGCAGCAGGGAGACCAGATTCTACCATGCAGTGCAAGGTGTACTGTGGGGGTGAGGCAGGGGAGGAGGACTGCGGACCGGCCACGGTGGGGGCGGGGCTGGAAAGGAGACACTGGGTGTGAGGTAGCCCTGGGCAGCAGCTGAGGCACATTTTTCCTGACATTTCAATCTCATAATGTATGCCTTGGTGCCTCCTCCCTCACCATCCTGATCTCAGTACTTCTGGGAAAGACAGGAATTCTTCACTAAAATTCAAGGATCCTTTTAAAATCAGGAGTTATAATTTTAAAGCTCAAAAACCAAACTCTATATTTCTGTTACATTTTTTTTTTTGATTCAAGTACCTGATTGGAAATCAAGATCATTGGAATTCTAACAGCAATTTGAGGACATGCTACATGTGATGCAATTGGAAAGAGTTATGTTCTCTCAGGTAGGAATTTTGGGGTCTACATAGAAATTAAAACAAAACAAAACATCCAGAAGTACTCCCTACCTACCCCAAACAAGCTGATACTCTAGTGTGCTAGAAAATACAACTTAAGTTTCATTACTACATTTTATCTTATTTTACAGCTGTAAAGGAATAGAGGAAGGTGATGATGACATTAAAATACAATTATTCCTGAGGCTTTGTTATATGCATGGCTACAGGTGCTACTTCAATATTCTCGTAACAGTCCTGGGAGGCAGGTACAATTAATTATTATTTCCATCTCATACACAAAGAAACTGAAAGTCAGAGGGATTCAATAACTTTCCTAATGTCATTCCCATTCCCCACTGGGGGGAGGTACTGGAAGACCTAGGGTTTGAACTCAGTGAATTAGTTTACCCATGATGTTGTAGGATCTTTCAGACAAACTGCAACTGAGAATGCGTCTTCGGGAAGGCATGGTGTCCTTTAGAAGGAGAATGTCAGTTCCAGATAAGGCAGAGGACAGAATTTAAACTCAAGGTCAAGTTGGGGTGCTGAGCAAAGAATGTGTGGAAAGAAGCAGCAGTGTGTAACTGGACTTCAGCGTGTGCTTCTGGCCACCTGCCTTGGACTCAAGGGCCAAATGAAGGTCAAAGAGTGTGGGAGGAGGTTGGAAAGCCAACATACTGATTAGGACACACTTTCCAGAAGTGGAGCCTTGTAAGGGAATGAAGGTCACAGCACAATGGAGTTTGATTTCTCTTGCCTTCAGACCTTCTTTAGAATGAGGCCTGTTCCAGTCTGGGGAGGAGACAGATTTGAAACCAAGAGAAGAAAACAAGGAAGGACGTTATATTATCGTTATCTTGTAGCTCCCAGCAGAGTAGAAGACAAGTTCACCCCATGGAGAATAAGTCAGTGCAATACTTAGAAAGTAGCTGCTATGGTGAATTTCTAGGGAATCTTAGGAAACAACGTACTATTGCCAGGATAAATTCAACGTCAGTAAAATATGTGTCATCAGCATGGTGATATAATTTCCTTTAGCAAATCCCAGTAGCTTTGGCCAAGGAATCAAAAACAACAACAAAATCACTTGAAAAGTAAAACTAGGATTATAGATAAGCAGGGGACAAAGGCAGCAGGTGACAGAAGGGCAGGCAGACTGGCGATGAGGCTGGTTGCCTGGGGACCAGGAATGCCAGTGCTGAGGACAGGTTTCTAGGGTAACAGGAAAAGATAGAATCTGATTTCCCAGTGAAGTATTCTCCACCTGAGCAGGTGAGGTGAGCCTGGTTCTTTGTGCCTGTGACAAGGACATCTGAGGTGTCTCTGCACCATGGTGCTGGGTCAGCAGGACTGATGGAATTGGGAGACAGGGGTGTTGGTATTATGATGTTGGTTGTCCTGGAGGTTGGCAAGGGCTGGAGAGGAAGACCAGGCCTGGTGATATGTCCAGAAGAAGGGCACATAGAGGTCTTGCAAGTCTGTATGTGGTGCCTTGGACTTCTGAGAAGGGTGTCTGAGATCTATGTGACCAAGGTTAGGGGGAAATGACCCAGAGACAACAGGGCTGGAGGTTAGGGAGGCCCAGCATACCACTCAGCCTTGTAGTATGCTCCAAGAAAGTGGAGAATAGACTGGGGTTTTTCCAAGAAAGCGAGAAGGAGACTCAATCTCACAAAGCCAAACAAGGACACCAGATGATGGTGATGCCCCAGCCATTCTGCAGCCCAGACGAGACCAGCTCAACGTGATTGGCTCCTCCTGGGAGCACCCATTCCTGTGTCTGGTCTGCATCCATGACACACATGTTTGGCGGCTAAGGAACTGAATGGGGTAGAGAAAAACTATGACTTTTTTTCTTTAAAACCTGTAATTTGACTCTACATTCCATGGTGTGCCACAATTTATAATTTTGCCCTGTACCACTTGCATGTCCTAACAGCCATGATGCATTCCCACATGTTATTCTGCTGTGATTTTAGAGGAAGATACCAGTATGTCTTCAATTTCACTCGCCTGTCAGGTGGTTTACTGTCTATTTGCAATGCTATGCAATCATCCGCGATTAATAAAACTCAGCTAACCAGATCAAACAAAGCATGGCTGTGTGCCATTTGCCACAGACATTCTTGAATTCTAGGAGACTTTAGAACTTGGACTCTCAATTTTCTGGAATCTCAAAATTGTGAAAATTTGTTTTCAAAGGACTCCCAGGAAAAAAATGTTAATGCCATCCGTGAATCAGCAAAGAGAGGCAGCTAAGAGCATGGGCGCATGAATCAGACAGGCTTGTGGTCAGATAGGCCAAGGAAGCCAGTTGGCAATCACCAGGCTTCGGCTTGGATTTCTGGTCTTTAAATGGGGATGTCTGTCTTGTAGCACTTCTTGGGGGACTATGGGAGAAAGTGCATGTGAGGAATTTCTCATGCTAACTGCTGGATAAATGTGATTGCTTTTTAGTTTACCTTAATGTTTTTATTATTTTGTTTGTGAGTTCTTCCAGGAAAGCTGTCAGGTGACTGAGGAACTATCAGTAAACTAAGCATGGACACGCACGCACACACACACACACACACACACACACACACACGCACACACGCACATGCCTCTGGAGAAGTCTTAAAATAAGAACTGCTCGTTTCTGATTTTGTTGTTACCATAAGAAAGCTCAGGAGGGTACATGAGGTACTGAATAGTTTTTTATAGATACTGATTTTATTTTATAGATGAAGAAAGAGTATAATACAAAGGAGGAAAAACACCCTGAAGCTCTCTTTCCACGTCTCGGTCTTGCTTTCCCACTACCTCTGTGCTGCCTGATTCCCAACTGCTGGTGCAGCAGCCTCGAATTCATTTGTTTGTGACCCTTTTACACAAAATGTGCTCACACATGTATAGATACGTATGATGTCACAGACAGTGAGGATACAGGTGAATGCCATATGCAATTAGCTTTGAACAGAGCAAGCTATGTATGATATTAACTCTTTCTAGTCAGCTTACTATTTGCACTTATTTGAAGAGCTATCCAAACTGCTATGTTTTAAACCAAAGGTATTCCATATTTGCATCGTTGTTGGTTTTTGAATAAAACTACTGAATAAAACTACTTTAGTACTAAAAAGTAACTTTTCTGCTATTAATCAGTCAAATACAAACACCTTATTAGAGAATGCCAGAATTTCAGTTTAATGTAGACAAGGCTCAATCATGGATTCTAGGTGGGAGAAGCTGTAGTGAAGTAGAGAATATAAATCCAGGCAAGAAAGCCTCAAAAATGCATCTGTTAAGTGGGCAGAAATTCTCAAAGCTGCCTTTTCTGAAAGCTGTGCCTTAGCCTCACATGTCCCATCATCTATTGCGTGTAAATCCAAGCTTTGCTTCATTTGCTTTGCTCACAAATCAGAAATTCATTGATGTACAGAAAATGAAGCAGGCTGGGCAGACCTTAGGGGAGGGACACCCCTGGGCGAGATGGGCACTGGCTACTTACCACTACACACGGGCGCCTGGCAGGGTCTGATGAGAGGCAGCGGGGGGAGGTCCCTGCACATGGCCTCGCTGAGGGTGACGCGCCGGCCTTTGGCTGTCAGCCGCTGACACACCTGCTTCCTTCTCTGGAGCCCGACACCACAGCTGACCGAGCACTGCAAAGAGAGGTGGCTGAGGTCAGAGCCCACAGGACACCACCGACAGCACTGAGGCCTGCAGTGGCAGAGTGCGGGGGCCCACATCAGGCTGTGCCTCCCCGACTGCTTCCCCACCTGCAGTGTCTCCCCTGGCACGGAGGTTCCCTTTCTTCTTCCACCTTCCTTGCACCCTTCCCTTCCCTCCTCTCCCCTCCCCTCCCCTCCTCTCTCCTCCCCTCCCATCCCCTCCCCTCCCCTCCCATCCCCTTCCCTTCCCTCCCCTCCCCTCCCCTCTCCTTCCCTCCTCTTTCCTTCTTTTCTTATTCCTTTTCTCCATTATGTCATTCTTCCTGAGATTAGTTAACTATTTTACAGTAATTTATGGCTGTGACACTTGTTTTCAACATTGTAATTGATAAATCTAATTTATTTTTAGTTATTTATGCATAGTAAAATGATTTTGATTTTGTTTTTAAAAAGATACATTCTCATCACCAAGGATATGAGATGGAGATGTAGACAGAGTCACAGAAATGCCCAGGATCAGAGTTTCATTGCTGTGTTCTACCAAACATTTAAGAAAGAACTAATACCAGTCATTCTTAAGTTATTCCAAGAAATTTAAGAGGAAATACTTCTTACAGACATAGGAGTCTAGCATTATACTGATGCCATAACCATTCAAGCATGCAATAAAAAAAAGAAAATGACAGGCCAGTATCTTCGACGAACATAGATGCAAAAAATGCTGACCAAAATACTAGCAAATGAAATCCATTTTAACGAATGTTAAAATTATTCACCATGATCAAGACTCATTCCAGAGATGCAAGGATGGTTAAACATATGCACATCAATAAACACAACACATTACATCAACAGAACAAAGGGTAGAAATTACATGCTCAATAAGAACCGTGGGAGCAATGAAACCCAAAATGTGTAATAGTCATTATACAAAAGAGAGGAAAAGAAAGTGCTCTAAACTATATAACTGCATGTATATTTAAGTGTATAAGATAGAAAATGATATCACAGAGTTTTATTGGATCATTGAACAGAACTGTTTGCAGTATCATTGTTGGAATGTCCACTCTACAAGCTTTAATTTTGTGACTGGAACAATTATTTCTAAGATGGCAATATGTAATCCATTAACTTCTTCTGTAAATCTGTATAACTTGTACCCTTTCACTGTTTTTTTTCTTTTCTCCTTAAATAAAATTTTAAAAAAATTAAAAAAAAAAGAAATTACATGCTCATTCAATAGGTGCAGAAAAGGCATTTGATCAAATTCAACATCACTTCATGATAAAAATGTGAAGGAAATTAGGTACAGAAAGAATATACCTCAATACAATAAAGGTCTTATATGGTAAGGCAACAGCCCAAATTATACTGAATAGGGAAAAGGTTTTTCTCTAAGATCTGAAACTAGCACTATTTAACATAGTACTAAAAGTCCTAGTCAGGGCAATTAAGCATGAGAAAGAAAAAAAGAATCCAAACTGGTATCCGGGCATAGTGGCACACACTTGTAACCCCAGCACTTGGCAGGCTAGGGAGGAATGATCACTGTGAGTTTGAGGCCAGGCTGAGCTACATAGTGAGCTCAAGGTCAGCCTTAACTACACAGAGAGACCTTGTCTCAAAAAAAATTTTCAAATTGGAAAAAGAAGAATTCAAGTTCTCACTATTTGCATATGACATGCTGTTATATGTAGACAACAACAAAAATCTATTATAAGTAATAAATTTATCAAAGCTGCAGGGTCCACTTCCTAAAGATACTTGATAAAAAGAACTTCCAGAATTTCTTCAGAAAATGACAAGAACCACGGCATAAGTGTGTTGAAGTAAGGAGGATGTTTCCAACCGGAGGGTTAAAGCTGATGTGCTTTTCACTATAATGGACTTTCAAAAATGCACACATTAGCCATATACTTCGCCTACCATTTGTACACATAACAAAACATCATATGGTAAACAGGGTCTTGATGCTTCTCTGTTCCTTTTCTGTAGAGAGCAATGCAACATGAGAACAATCGTGGGCCATGCTGTCTTAGATTTTGCAAACTCTTACACACCTTATGCAGGCTGTATTAGAGGGTGAGATTTTCTTGGCCCTGGGTGTTTCTGGCCCAGGGTATACCCTGATGACGTGTTGATGAAAGCCTTTAATGAAAGACACTGACTATTCTTATTTTGTCTCCAAATATTTTTCCTTTCTATTTATTTTGATCCTTTCAGTGAATACCAGTTAGCTTACATTTGCTCTATTTTGTCTGCCCTCATACCCACCACTGCCGCCAGCAACTGGTTTTATATCTTTGTTCTTTTCCATATCATTTTGGATGATTTATTTTAGCCTGTGTACGAGGTCTCTTTGTTTTCAGTGGTTTCCTTTCTGTGGTTTTGTTGCTCATACATTTTTTCTGCTAATTTTATATCTTGTTTTTTCCCAACTGTTTTGCTTTTTTATATCCATTATTTTATAATCTCTCTCTCTCTCCTGATTTTTCTCCCATGGTACTGGTGACTGAACTCAGAGCCTTTGTACTGCCCCAGCCAATATTTTTATTTTTTGGAGACACAGTTTCAATAAGTTCCTAACTTTTCCAGGCTGGTCTCTAACTTGTGATTCTCCTGCCTCAGCCTCCCAAAGTTCTGGGATTTCAGGCATCCCCATGCCTATCTTGATCCTTTCTTTTAACCCCCATGGCCCTAGACATTATGATTATGACTTCTTGTGAGAACGTGGGATCTAGCTGTTGGAATTTTTCTCATGGGAACACCTTTGTGGTGTCATTTGTGTGACTCTTGCTTTAGGAATCTTCCCCACCCTAACTTCCTCCCTTTACTTTGATTTCCTCGTTTTTCACGCACAGATTTTCTGCAATGGAAACACACACACACACACACACACACACACACACACACACTGCCGCCAGTATACTTCAATTTATTAGTTGCCCAGGTAACAGTTTCTGTTCCAGATCCAGTTGCTACTGTGATGCATAGCTGGTCACCATGATGCACATTATATAAATAAACCAATTCCCAACTGACAAGCCATTCTGCCTCTCCACTTCCTGCTTGCTTATCTCCTATAAGCCCTAGACCACCAGAGATCAGGGCCTGATATTTGGAGCATGATCCCATCAGTGCCCACTGACATAAATAAATCTCCCTCTAAGCTCTGGGTGTCAATTCAGTGTTCCTGCCTGCCACTGCATCTTCACTGTCCTTAGTGCAACTGGCTGTGCCTGACACCAGCCCGGTCCGTGAAGAGGGCAGTGTAGATCAGTTTATCTCCAATGCTCTATCACCAAGCCTTTCATATCTTTTATTCACAAGTCTGTTTGGGTTTTGGTATTTGAATGGATGGTGGGACTAAACAAAGAGCCTTTAACTAACAGGCTCCTGTAACAATTTGGCAATTGCTGTCTCCCCTTCCTTCACCCCATTTCATCTCTGGCACCCTTCCTTGGGAAGGAGGCATAAAAATTATGGCCCCTCCTTCAGCCCTATCTCAGCCTGCAGCCCTGCAGAGATTGTCTCTGTTGTTTTGTGGGCAGCTCGTGGTCCTCAGCCTAAAGTTTCTGTGATCAAAGAACCATTTAGGTTTGATCATTTCAGGACTACCACGCTCACTGTCCGGGAAACCAACAACCCGCCTGAGGCGGGAGGAAATACTTGTCAGCGTTCAACCTTGCCTCTCATTTCAGTCCAGATTTTATGCACTTTGGCAGGTGTGTTTCATAATTTATAGCTTGGGACTGTGGCCATTTCATTGTTCATTGAAGACAGAGCTTTCCCTCCTTCTCTTTGTGGGTTTTTGTTGGGTTTCAAAGGAGGAGAACGGAATTTTTAAAAATGCCTTTATTGTCATGTTTTGAAGAAAACCCTAATTACCAGTTCTGTTTTGTGCATAAAGCAGCTTCATGTAGGCTTTGGAACAACTATTTTAAAGTTACCATTTACCAAATTATCATTTTTTTTCAGTGATCAAATAATCATAAGGTTCCTACATAATGAAACTCAATGTCAGCTTTTTATCAAACTACCACCAAGCCACTTACATTCACACCACAGTGGTTATAAAGCCTCAAACACTGCGAATAAGACATTTTTAATGATATGAATTTGACATGATCTTTTCCTTTATTATTAGTGGTAGGGTCATTTTCTGAATGGGTTAGGTTCAGAGGAAGAATGCCAGAAGAGAATGCTTACAGAGTGAGAGGCAATGCCTTTAATGATCAATTTCTCTAGTTATCGCCCACAAATAATCAGCCTTTTAATCATTTCCCACAAAGCAGCAAACTAAGCCAAAGCTTCGCCTGTGATTTCTCCATGGACACCTACCGGATTCCCCAGGAGGAAGCTGTGTAAACGATAAACCTTGGCTTCTTACACCACTACGACCATTTGCCTATGGCCTTTAAACCTGAAGATCAGTGTGGCAGGATGAAAATTCCAAGGCTTACATTCCCTGTACTAAAGTATACTAATTACAGCGCCCTCTGTCGCTTTCCAGTATGAAGTTGTATTGTCAAGAAGTCTGGTGCCAATATGAGTTCCCCTTTAATAAGTGACTTAATTTACCTACATTTTTCTTTATCTTTAAATGCCAGTAGTTTTAGTAGAACTTGACTTGATAGTACCCATTTGAAGTCAACTTTCCAAGGCATATGGAATGCTCTTTTAATCTGGAAATTTAAGGTTTGTATTGTTTTGTTCTTTTGCATTATCTTAGCAGTTTTGTTTTTCCTGGGATACACTATTTATTGGTTTTTCTCTCACCATCTTTTCTATGTATCAGTGTCAATCCATCCTTTTTATTTCTCTTAGATTCTTTCCACTTCCTCCTTTCTTTTATTTCCCCTGTTACATTCTCTATATCTAGGTGTTTTGGGCTCCTTCTAAGTTTAGTCCACATTCTGCACATTTTGCCCTTCATTTTCTAATTCTTTCCTCAGTCTGCCTCTTTTCACATCATCTAGTTATTTATTCAC